TTCTGATTGTTTGGTCAGAGACATTCACACCAGTGGCCTGGTGAAGGTAATTTTGTAAGACTCTGGCGGTGCTCATCCTGTTCCTCCTTGCACACAGGAGCGGATACCAGCCCTGCTGATGGGTTAAGGACCTTCTACGGCCCTGTCCAGCTCTCCTAGAGTACTTGCCTGTCTCCTAGAATCTTCTGAATTATCTTGAGACTATGCTGGGAAACACGGCAAACCTGGCAATGAAATGTATTGCTGTGCCCTTCTGGAGATGTTTGACTGCCTGTGCAACCTCTGTAGGGCCCGGGTATCGCCCTCATGCTACCAGTAGTGACACTGACCCTAACCAAATGCAAAACTAGTGAAAAACAGTCAGAAAAGATGAGCAGGGGAAAAAATGTCAGTGGCCTCCACCTGTAAATCCGTTCGTGTTTTGGGGGTCATCTCATTGTTGCCCATCTAGTGCACCTGTTGTTAATTTCATTAACACCAAAGCAGCTGAAACTGATTAACAACCCCCTCTGCTACTTAACTGGCCAAATAAATATCCCAGGAGTTTGAGGATGATATACTCTGATTAAAAAGTGTTCCTTTAAATTTTTTGAGTAGTGCAATAAACTAGTTAAAGCGTAATTTCTCCATAAGGGAGAAGAGGTCCGTCACCTTAGGACACTAGCAGGAAAAGAGGACTCATGGATTAGGGTAAGGTAAAAAAGGGGGATGCCCAGGAGGTGTGTCCTCAAAAGATTTGCCAGTGTCGTACATAACCCAGGGTCTATGAATATCAAGCCAATGTTCTGTATTATACAATAAAGATCCTTTTTTTTTTTTCTCAACATTTTTGTTTTTTCTTCATATAGGAAATAATAAAAAACACAGTGGTTCATTCTCTCATAATAGAATGATCCAAGAAGATTAAAGAAGATCTAAAGTTACCTGTGAGTACTGTTACAATGTTTGTTTGTAAAGAAGAATACAAACACTGCTATTTTTTTGAACAGTCTAATATTCACTTTTCTTTAAGTTTTTTAGAGGAACAACACAAATTTGATATAATTTTCTTCATGTTTTGATTTGGAATAGAATGTGTAGTGTTCCCAATGCATTTGTGTGTATGGAAATAAAAGGTATTAGAAGGATGTTGAGCTTTATTCACTTTTTTTAACACACTGCTATTATTTTGAACACAACTGTACGTAGGTAGGATTGGATGTTCACTTTTCTCCTCCCTGCATATTAGATCCCATTAAATGCTGTTCCATGATATTTTAACAGTGGGGGATTGATGGGTTTCAACCCCCCCCCCCCCCCCCCCCATATACTAAATGACAATTAAGCATTCTCTCTTCTTTTGTGTCCTCTTTTAGGGATCTCCTCATACTCGCTGATTGCTAGTGTTTTTTGTACGTATTTTATTTGGTGGTGAGATTGTACCTCCATACAATATTAGTTTACTGCCGGTTTCTTTTATATGAGCCCCACTTGGACCGGGATTAGTGACGTTAATGCACCCCTATCAATTGGGGGGTTTGTCTAATTTTTTTTTTTTAAAGGTTTTCAAACCTTTACTGGGTTACAGTATACTTTTATTGTGGGATTTATTAATACCATATGTACCTATATGATTTGTATCTGCATTGAGTGTACAATTCCAATTACTGTGGGAGTACATTCTCTGCAGAGGATTTTAACAATTGTTGTACGTCTATGTATGTTCAATAAAGCAATAATTTTATTTATTTATTACCGTTGTAGTGCCTATAAAGTCCACCAAATAGCCCCTTTTCTTTTCCAGTATAACACAAAAAGAACAGGAAGGGAAATCCCATAGTGTAAAACCATAATATAGTTAGTTAAAAAAAAAAAAACACTCACAAATATAGTGCCTCTACCCGGCACCTGGTGCACTCGGCCTTATTTGTGTAAAAGGGAAGCAGCTAGGCTAAGCGCTCCTCGGAGCGGCATGCGTTCCATACGCCGGAAGTGACGTCAGCGGAAGTTGCGTCATCAAACCTTGACGTGTTTCGATTACAGATCATCTTCAGGATAGCGGTTTCCATTTACACAAATAAGGATGAGTACACCAGGTACCGGGTAGAGGCAGTATACTTGTGAATGTGTTTTTTAGACTTAAACAAAATACTGTATATTACGGTTTTACACTATGGGATTCCCCTTCCTGTTTTTTGTGATACATCTACTCCGACACTGCAGGACCTGGAGACATTAATCAACTTCATTGGGAAATGCCCCACAAGCGTTGTAGACCACTCTAGAAAATTCACACTCTGGTCATCTACAGAGGGTGAGTTTTAGTCCATGTGGGGCACTCTGAGCACTATGAAGAAGTGAAGCACTGTAATCAAGTTGGAACACGAGCACGGGCACCTATTTCACAATTTGGGACTATAATTAATGGTAATTACACAATTGACAATGATCCCAAACATACCACCACCCGGGCAACAAAGGATTGGCTTCGTAAGAAGCATTTCAAGGTACTGGAGTAGCCTAGCCAGTCTCCAGATCTCAACCCCATAGAAAACCTTTGGAGGGAGTTGAAAGTCTGTGTTGCCCAGCGACAGCCCCAAAACATCACTGCTCTAGAGGAGATCTGCATGGAGGAATGGGCCAACATACCAGCAACAGTGTGTGCCAACCTTGTGAAGACTTACAGGAAACGTTTGACCTCTGTCATTGCCAACAAAGGATATATAACAAAGTATTGAGATGAACTTTTGATATTGACCAAATAATTATTTTCCACCATAATTTGCAAATAAATTCTTTCCAAATCAGCCAATGTGATTGTCTGGATTTTTTTTCTCATTTTGTCTCTCATAGTTGAGGTCTACCAATGATGCCAATTACAGGCCTTTCTCATCTTTTTCAGTGGGAGAACTTGCAGAATTGGTGGCTGACTAAATACTTTTTTGCCCCACTGTATGTTGTGAATTTTGAGACTGTGTAGTGATTATGTACGTACTGTATGTAATGTTTGATTTACAGATGCTGGATTATAATCAATGGCAAAATGTGTAGAATTTTTGAGATTGTATAGAGGATATGCACATGTGTTATGTAGATGCGTGGTCTAAACACATATATATTTTTTTTCACATATTTCTTTTATTTAGAAGCTGGTGGATGACACATGATCCTGGACCCAACAGCAGTTTGCTCAGTCCAGGAGCCTCAGGACAGTGGGTGGAGTGTGTGGATGGATCGCCAAGATGGAGCGTGCATACATAATAATTAGCCTAGGGTCACTGGGAACTATTTGGGTCTTCAGTTGAAGTCAACAATTTTCTGAATTGCTAAACAACCCTGCTTGGAGTGGGCGTCATAAGAACATTGCAGGCACAGTACACTGTGTATTTTGGGATCTGTACAACAAGACAGCTTGTAGGCCTGTCAAATGAAGTTTTACATTTTACAGTATCTTGTTCGTGGTCAGTGTTGCTCCTTTCCCAATGCTTATAAAACAGAAGCAGGATCTTGCTCTTGAGCTTTCTTACCAAAGCAACACAGACAACACAAAATGTAAATGTATACCATAGAAAACAAAGTAAACACAGGGCGGCCCACCAAATATTATATGAGCTATAGACATCAAGTTGCTGCTGTGGAACACTATGCAGGCCAGACATGATATCAGCGCCTGTTTAGACTAACCTTGTAATAGTTTTGTTTTACCTCAAGGTAGTGCTTCTAATTAAACTGTTAGTTGAACTTTACCAAAAACAGCCTATTGCAGGTAAGGGGCGCCTGTAAAGAAAAACAAAAATTGTATAGGTTTGACTAAAGTGTATGCCGTTTACATACCACCTGAAGCCTGGTGGAAAAACTCCCAGAAATAGCATCATTCTGTCCTGCCTTGTTGTTAGGACATTGCTAAGAGATTCCCAGCTGAATCCATCTCCCTTGCATTCACTGCCTCACTGTTGCAGTAGCTCTGAACAGAGGAGACAGTGGACCACACGTGAGCTCACTCCTGTGTGATTGCTGGGAGAGCAGTAAACAGCTGTGCAGTTAGTTTTTATCTAAGGCTGCCCTGCACGTGCATAGGCAGTTTTTGGCAAAGTTTAACTAACCCCTTAAGCTGTCAATATCTATGTGTTAAAATGTAATGCCTAAGACAGGTGTCTTATATCTTAAAGCATGTGTAATCCCTAAAAATCAATGTATTTTCTCTTGTTTGGTCTTTTAATAAACAATAAACATATTTTGTTATAGCTGCTAAACAAGTGCAACTCAATGTGTGTTGATCTGATCAGAAATTCAGAACGGCCATGTGTTCTCTATACACTTCCTGTGTTATCTCATGGCGTCTTATTAGTCTTCCCGGTTGTTATTTTAGGACTACAGAATAATTTGTTCTATGCTGTAGAGATTAGACTAAGGGAAGGTTTGAGTAGTTTAGCAGAAGACCATTGGACAAGGCTGACACCATTCAGTCCCCAACAGGAAATCATGAATGGAGTGCTTTTCTGGAAGATCATCAGGTTATTTTCTGTACTTTCAGTGTCCTTGAAGGCATAAAACATTGGATACGTGTTTCTTTTTTTATTTACTCTGACATTCACTGTAAAGGAACCGTACACAGTAAGAAATATGGAGGCTGCAATTTCTAGTCTCCTTTTGAAAACACTAGTTGCCTGGCTGTCTCTGGCTTCATTAAGTCACTGACCTGAAACAAGCAGGCAGCAAGTGAAGTCAGTCAGGTCACAACTCCTGATGATCTTCATTCTTGTCCTGCGTCAGTGAAGTAGTAAAGCCAGATGGTCACCTTGAGAGACAAGCAACATGCATTTCAGGAGAGTTCTACAATGTCAGCCCATACATTTCATTGTTCAGGTTTCCTTTGTGCAAGCCTCAGAATCACTGCAATAGATCGATAAATGCAACAATGTTGACAGTACCCATTTTTAATGATAACCAAAAAGCTCAGAATAAATACAAGAAGGTTGTTTTATTTAGAATAACTGCATATTTACAGAGGAAAAATATACTTATGATAAAACAGGAGCAATTTCAATGGAATTAATCCTTAGGATGGTCTGTGGGGTAATAGTAACTGTAATACAAATAGAAAAAAAACAATGTTAGAACCTCAATAATTACTGCAGCATACACACATTTACTTTTTTTTTTTTTTTAGCTATAAAAAGTATTTTTTCTACCTTTAGATACCATACAAGTTGTCTAATAAAAGTGGCAGTTACAGGCTCTGGAACAACCTATTTCTCTGACCAGGATGTCTACAACAGTAAGTTTTTATTTATATAGCTTAAACCTTCTTTAAAAAAAAAAAAAAAAAAAACTACTGTTGTTACTGCTAAGTACAGTATTAGCTGAAGTTGGACTGAAAGGGTTAATTCACCTTTTCAGAAAAAATTAGCAGGTGAACAGCTCACACACCCTCCCAACACCCTGCTGTTCTTTCTTCTTTTCCTAGAGACCTTGGGAGGAATCAGAGCTATTTTAATTGGTTGATGCAATAATGTGCCAGAGCTAACCAATTACAATCGCTCTGATCTGTGTCGGGGTTCCTAGGAAAAGACGAGAAAGAACAGTGTGGTTTTCAATCCCAGGTACACTGCACTGAGCTGCATGGACAATGTGAACTGTAAGAACCATGGAGGTAAGTCTAGCAGGGACTAAGGGGGTGGGAGGGTGTATGATGTTTTTTTTTCTGAAAAGGTAAACTTAACCACTTGCCCTCCAGATGATTTACCCCCCTTCTTGACCAGGCAATTTTTTTGCGATACGGTGCTGCGTTACTTTAACTGGCAGTTGCGTGGTCATGCAACGCTGCACCCAAATGAAATTTTTGTGCTTTTTTCCACCATAAATAGAGTTTTCTTTTAGTGGTATTTGATTGCCTCTGCATTTTTTTTTTTTGCGCTATAAACAAAGACTGACAATTTTGAAAAAAAAAAAAACCCCCCCAAAAAAACAATATTTTTTTACTTTTTTGCTATAAAACATATCCGGTAAAAAAAAATTCTAAAAATCAAATTTCGTCATGGTTTAGGCCAAAATGTATTCTGCTACATGTCTTTCCTAAAAAAAATCCCAATGCATGTAAATTAATTGGTTTATGTGAAAGTTATAGCATCTGCAAATGGCGGTATATATATACTGGGATTTTTTTTTTCTTTCTATATACTAGTAATGGCGGCAATCAGCGACTTATAGTGGGACTGCGGAGGGCATTCTAACACTGGGAGGGGGGGGGGAACCGACTAACTGCCAATGACATCCCCAGTGACACTAATACAGTGATCAGTGCTAATAAAAAGCTCTGACGCTGTACTAATGACACTGGGCAGGAAGGGGTAAACGTCCGGGGCGATCAAAGGATTAACTGTGTGCTGTTTTACAAACTGTGATGTCATCTTGTTGGTGATTATTGAGAGTCTAATGACATACTCACCTTATGGTGTTTTATGTAAGTGCAATACTGTTTCTAATAAATGTGGATGATTCTAATAAATGTGGATGATTCTAATAAATGTGGATGATTCTAATAAATGTGGAGTTGATTTTGCTACACCATGCAGCGATTATTTTCCCTTTTATGATTTTTCTGCCTTTGAATATCAATTAACCATCATTGGTGGAGCAGATAGTGTAAGACCACCATCATGTAGTCCTTTCAAGAACCCACTGTACCCGTTACATTTAATTTAGGTTAGAATACACAGGTGTGTGGCATTTACTATGCGTTTGCCCCGAATTTGCACCAAGTTGTAAAGAGGGGAATACAAAAAAAAAAAAAAAAAAAGCATTAACTGATGTCAAACTGATCTCAAAAGATCTGAAATGTCTGTGTATACTAGGACTAAAAGGTATTTACAAAAGGAAACACACAAACATGTCACAATGACACACACATTTCCTTCCTTAAAAAACAATGTTTGTAGCAGCATTATTTATAGCAGTGAATGCCCTTACTTTTCTTCTTCTGGAATCTATGTCGCCTCCAATACTTCATGTTGATCTTGGGATGGGATTCTGTTTTTTCAATCACTGTGGCTTCAACTCGTACTAAATCTTTCCTAGAAACAAGTTAATGTCAAAATACACATTGAAAAAATTAGTTTTATGTTTTACAGACTTCCGACATGTTGACGCTTTGGAAATTATCCTGGATTTTATCTGGTTGTCACCACATCTTTTACTAATTTTTTTAATCATATTATATAACATTCAAAAAGTGTACTTTTTTCTTGTTTTATATAGTCAAGATTACTAATAATAAAAATAAAAAAAAAAAAAAAAAGGACAGTTTAAAGTAAGCTACAGTCAATACAAAAACCAACAGTAAGGCCTCGTTCACATGGAACGTGCTAAAGCATTTGCAGATGTTCCGTGTATCCCCTTTCAGGTAGCCCCACTGAAGTCAATCAGGAAGCAGTGGCTGCACAGGCACTCCATCCATGCGGGTACATGGCCTGAATGCACACTGTCTATGTTTGGGGCCGTGCAACAACACAAATATAGTTTTACTATGAATTTTTTGCAGAGTACCTAAAAGCCTTAAACAACAAAAGAGCTCTGATGTGCAAACAGTGATGGGTCAATAATGAGACATGAAGGAATGTGGCAGAGCCAGCAGAAACATGAGATTTTCAATGTTTTGCAAACTGATCACATTAATTTTCTGCGGTCCTACAGTGGTCTACAAGATGATCCAAAACCATGAGGCACCTGGAGGCGCCAACTAACTACACAATGTTCAGTTTATTATGGAAACATCCACTTTAAAAGAAAAATATTTAGACTGCTATTGCTTAATTTTTTGATCTGTATACTAGTTCTAGGGCTGGATCAGAAGATAGCATTCTAATAGTATTATCAGGAAAAATCAACAGGGGTCATCATCTATTTTTCTCAGCATGTTCTCTTTAAGCTTTACCTAAGCCAAAAGCTTATTCTGAATATCAGCAAGTTCTAGATGCGGATACTAGAGGTGAGGGGGAGGGTCACAGGTTAATAAGACTCATTATGATCAAAGTCTAACGCCAGCCTAATTTTTTGTTTAGATTTTCATAGATCAGGAAAGGGTTAGAAATTGCCTTGATGCAAGTATGCATATCTAATATCTGGAGGTCTGCACTACATACAAAGTAAGCCACAACATTCCTGGTCGTGTTTGAGCTGCTCCCCCCCAGTATACCAATCACAGGATGTTATACCTTCAGAACCTCCTCCAATCATAGGAAAGCCTTTTATTACAAGGCAGTCTCCGGTTGGAGCAAAGGGACATTGAGGTCACAATCTTCATCTTGTCTAATCAAAAGAACACCATGTATTCCCTGAAAAAAAAAAAAAAACACACACAGCAAGGTGTTCTATGAATGGAGCACGGCTGAAGGAGTGACCTCCTGTGGTCAGTGTGCCGAAAGGAAGCAGCTTGGCCCAGGATCCAAAAGATCACAGCTTTCACTGTACGTAGCACCCTCCTCCTGCAGCCCCAAAATGTTATAAGACATTATTTTCCATTAAAAAAAGAAAATACACACACACACACCTCTCTTTAGCCTAGCTATCGGTTTTCCTTTAAAAGGGTAACTAACAGACACGGGTCCAGAAGTAGTTATTCAGTAGCTCATACTGTAGGCAATCATAGATCCCAAGACCTGTTTTTTAGTCTGCCCACAAAAACAAGGAAAGGTAAGTATATCAAAAGGGCTGAAACCAATTTTACTATTAGTAACTAAAATGGAGATGATCATATTCTAGTGTACCAGTCGTTCGATGTGATTGGCTACATTAGATGTCCTATTTCAGGCTCCCCCCCTTTGTTTTTTTAACCTGTTGATCCTGCCAGGAACCCTTCCTGCCCTGGGGAGACAATACTCACCATACTGTATTGCATAGTTCCTATAGCAGGAAGCGTGTTACGTCTACAGAACACCTCCCCCATCCTTATTTCCATAACATAGGAGGAGGGTGTTTTATTTAGTCAACATAAGTGGGTAGGGCTGATCATATTGGTAAAGACTTCAGTGCGGCAAAGAAATTAGAAGCACACTGGATTTCTGGCAGATCACCAGGTGTTTCCTTGTCCAAGCAGCAGTTTTAAAGACACAAAACATGGTGAAACGTGCATTTATTTGAGAGATGTACTGAATGTGCTATTTTGCCCATAAATAAATTTTAATGTGACAAAATGTCAGGGGCTTCGGTTTAGAGAGAACATGTTGGGAAGACAATGAAGAGCTTACCCAAGCAGAGGCTTTCCTATCAGTGTGAAATTATCACTACCAACTAGCAGCACCTGAAAAAGAGAAAATAATCAAGAATTAGTCCATTATAAAAAGAGAAATGTACTAAAACGTTTAAAAATTAAAAACTTTCTATAAAATTCCCCATGAATAAATAGGTAATCAACGTTATCAAGTGAGGCAACAAAATCAAACTCACATAAAGTGGTCCAACTCAAACGACCTGAAACCAGAATGCAATCCGAAACAGCTCTGCATTGTGAGAATCATTGTCAGCAAAGCAATTATTCACCTTCACTCTTCTGCTGATGCTCAGGCCCCATTGCAGGCCACTGCAGCTTCAAGCATGTGACCAGAACATCACAGATCCTTTTTTTTTTTTTTTTTTTGTTTTTTTAAAACAAAGAAGCATCCAATTACTGCCCGTTGTTTTAGTCTGCACTAAAATAAACTATAGATGTTGTCAGTGCTGGGAGTGCACGATTGAGCATGCTTCCAGCACAAACACAGGAATGCATATATGCGGCTCCCAGGAAAACAGCCCACTTCCTGGATGCCACATATATGTGTTAGGCAGTTGTAAAGGGGTTAACATGTGTGAAAAAAGAACACTGTAAATACCTATGTAAGACTCCTAACGATATGAAAATTTTTGGCAACCGGAGTTGGGCTGTAAAGTGATATTAAAAGGTGTTTTTGTTTTTATTAAAATTAAAAAATAGCTTATATATATATATATATACCTGCTCTGTGCAATAATATTGCACTGAACAGCCCCTTACCTCCACATCGTACCATCCACTCCTCCTCTCCTGCAGGAACCCCCACAGCAAGCCGCATGTGGGTGTGCTCCTGAGCCCGGATGTTTGTGTCCATAGACCCCTGCTCTCTCCTCACAGGATTTGACTGACAGCAGCAGAAGCCAACAACTCCCGTTGCTGTCAGAGTCACCTGTGAGACTGGGAAAAGACTGCAGCTGGGGACAGAGCTGAATCGTAAGAGAAATCAGGTGTTTAAAGCGGAGTTCCACTCACCCTGTCAAAAAATAAAAGTCAGCAGCTACAAAAACTGTAGCTGCTGACTTATAAAAAACAGCCACTTACCTGTCCCTCGGTCCCGCGATGTGTCCCCTGCAGCCCGGACGTCCTGTATTCCAGGAGGCTGGCATCTTCAGTGTGGGCACACGGCTGTAATAGCCTGCGGCTTCACAGCCGGGCACTTACTGCGTATGCGCAATTAGCGCTGAGCTTCATGAATGGTCCTGTAGTCTTCTGGGACCTGTCATGTGTCCGCCCCCCAAAGGTGCCAATCATTAATGGGGAGCGAGTGAGCAGTCCTTAAAGTGGAACTTCCCCTTTTAGGTGGAGCTCCACTTTAAACACGGGGGGCAGTTAGAGGGGTGTTTTGTACCCTAATGCAGGGCATGCATTAAAGCAGAACTAAAAGCAGTTTATACTCACCTTTCCTCCAATGGGCCTGTCCCTCTCTGGTGCCAGCACCTTTTCCTGTGTGCTGGTTTTCGTCAGTCTTCATTAGTCAGTGCAGGAGAATGTCACTTCTGCGTACATGCAGGAGGCTGTCATTCTGGCATACATAAACTGGGCCAGCCACTGTAAACTCAGTTTACATGCTGGGGTATGCTTCAAACAGCCAGACAACTGTATTTTTATTGCAGAAGAGACATTGCATCTACAATAAAACACCTGCCTGCTTGCAGCAAGCAACAGCGGAACTTTAGTACTGCTTTATGGTTAAAAACAGCCTTTAGAACTTCTTTAATGAAGATGTTAGCCCTCCTATGACCCAGTCTACTAACATATGACCAAAATGTATCGGTTTACAGTTCACATTGGGTGTAGCTGGGTGGTTAGTATACAGTCAACTCTCCTCAGAACTTGCTCCAAATAAAACAATTTTCAGACACATCCCTGCACCTGGTTTCACTTCATCAATGAACTATAAATTTGGTGATGGAGTCTCTTTGAAAATGGAGTGAAAGAAAAATACCTTTTCTAACCGGATTCTGTCTCCACACTGCGCTTCAACTGAGCCATGAAATAAAACAAGGTCCTCATTAGTTACTTTCCACTGTTTGCTTCCAAAATGGATGATGGCAAAAAGACGCCCAAACTGTCCTGTGGCGATGATGTTGTTTACATTTTTAACTAATTCTACAAAAAGAAGAAACAAAAAAAAAAAACTGAAACAAACAAAATGAAGACATAATATTTATTTAAATCCTAAATAAAGGTTGGTGGACATGGCTTTACAAGTGCATAAATTAAAAAAAAAACAAAAAAAAAAAAAAAATAGTTACAATAACATCTGTTTTCTTCAGTAGATATTTTTCAGAGAACAAATACTGAAGCAAGCAAGGGCAATTCTCACAATACAGTTTTCTTTTAAAGGTATATTTTTGCAGGCTAAGTTTTTATAGCAACAGGATTAAGAAGTGTCCCCTTTTCGTAAAAAACACAGCTCCCTTACTGTATTACACTGCTCCTCTCCTGCCCCCTCTTTGCACACACTGCGCCCGCCCCCCCACAAAGAGGACCTGTAACTCAGATACTAATCACGTAGGGAACTATTGGTCCCCCTATGTGATAGCAATAAAATCATATGTTAAAAAAATAAATAAATAAAAATACACATGAACCACTTGCCTACAGGGCACTTCTACCCCTTTCCTGCCCAGGCCAATTTTCAGCTTTCTGCACTGTCACATTTTGAATGACAATTGCACAGTCATGCAACACTGTACCCATATGAAATTTGTATCATTGTTTTCACACAAATAGAGCTTTCTTTTGGTTGTATTTAATCACCGCTGGGTGTTTTTTTGAGCTATAAACAAAAAAAGAGCAAAAAAAAGTGAAAAAAAAGTGTTTCTTTGTTTTCAATATAAAATTTTGCAAACAGGTAATTTTTCTCCTTCACTGATGTGCATTGATAGGCAGCACTGACGGGCACTGATGATGCTGCACTGATATGCAGCAATGATGGGCAGAACTGACGGCACTGCTGGGTAGCACTGCTAAGCACAGATGGGTGGCACTGATCATCAGTGCCCTGATGATCAGTGCCGATCTGTTTTCTGACAATTGCCGGTTATTAGCAGAAACTTTCCTCACGTTGTGACAGCGTGAGGAAAGTGCAGCCGACAACCAGCAACTGCATTTACCTGGTGATCTGCTGTATTATTGGACACAGCTGATCACGTCGTAAAAGGCAGCTGTGATTGGCCTTTTACCACATCACGTGATCAGCTGTGTTTCCTAGGACACCTCGCTGTAGCCATCATTCGCTTATAGCCCAGTTGTCAAGTGGTAAAGTAAATTTAAAAAAAAATTTAACCTCCCACACACATGCAAACATTTCGGTTTTTTGGCCACGTGCATTCTGAATTTTCAGTATCAGTTTCAGCACCATAATTTTCATTTCGGTGCACCACCAGTCTTGTCAACTTCTGTTGCATTGTTATTAATATAAAATAAATAACAAACCAACAGAAAGGGTCACAGATCCCTCATAGCAGGCCTACTTGTTAACCTGATCAACACCCTCTCCACCTGCCCTCGCCAACTCTTCTCCACCTTCAACTCCCTGCTCTCTCCACCCCCTCCTCCACTCAGTACCTCACTTACCACCCACGAGATTGCCACTCATTTCCACAACAAGATTGATGCAATCCGTAAGGACATAGTCAACTCGCAATCTACCTCCCCACCTAGCCTCCCCCCCCCCCCATCACCCCCTCATCTCTCCCCTCCTCTGACCTCGCAACCGCACTGCCCCCCACCACACCCAAGGCCCCGCTTACAGTAACCCCCCCAGCACTGCACTCCTTCAGCCCTACTACCACTGAGGAAGTCACCAGAGTCTTCTCAGAAGCCCGCCTCACTACCTGCCCCCTGGACCCTATCCCCTCTCAACTCTTCCGGTCACCCCCCTCACCCACATCTTCAATCTCTCCCTCTCTACCAACGTATTCCCCTCCCCCCTAAAACATGCGCACATCACCCCCATACTCAAAAAGCCCTCCCTGGACCCCACTGACCCAAACAACCTCAGACCCATCTCCCTGCTGCCACTCACCTCCAAGCTCCTTGAGCGCTTAGTCTACGATCGCCTAAGCGCCCACCAAACTGACAACAACCTCCTTGATCCACTACAGTCCGGCTTCCGTCCCCTACACTCCACCAAAACCGCCCTCCTCAAAATCACCAACGACCTACTAACCGCCAAAGCCAAAGGTGACTACTCTGTCCTCCTTCTCCTGGACCTCTCCGTGGCCTTTGACACAGTTGACCACCCCCTCCTCTTTAATAAACTACTCTCCCTTGGCATCAGAGACAACGCTCTCTCCTGGTTCTCCTCTTACCTATCCCGATGCTCCTTCAGCGTTTCCTACAACAGTGCCACCTCCCCCTCCCTCCCCCTCTCTGTTGGGGTCCTCCAGGGCTCTGTCCTTGGACCCCTTCTCTTTTCCATCTACAGCTCTTCCCTTGGCAAACTCATACATTCCCACGGCTTCAACTACCACCTCTATGCTGATGACACTCAAATTTACCTCTCCACCCCTCACCTCACCCCCACATTCTCCGCCCGCATCACTCACCTCCTAAACGACATCTCTGACTGGATGTTGCTCCATTTCCTCAAGCTTAACCTCTCCAAAACCGAGCTTCTCGTCTTTCCCCCTCCCCGCGCCCCCCCATCCTATTTATCATGCCAACAACACCACCATCAATCCCGCCCCACAAGCCAAAGTCCTTGGCATCTTTCTGGACTCAAACCTTTCCTTCCAACCTCATGTCAAATCACTTACAAACACATGCAGGCTCCACCTTCGCAACATCGCCAAAATACGCTCCTTCCTTACCCCAGACACCACTAAACTACTCGTACACTCCCTGATTACCTCACGCCTCGACTACTGCAACTCCCTCCTCACTGGCCTACCCCAGTGCAGGCTCTCCCCACTTCAGACCATCCTGAACTCAGCGACTAGACTCATCCACCTCACCAACCGCTCCACCTCTGCCACCCCCCTCTGCCTATCCCTCCACTGGCTCCCTATTGCCCAACGCATCAAATTCAAACTACTCACTCTGACCTACAAAGCCATTCACAACACTGCCCCTAACTACCTCACCAACCTGATTCCCAGGTACCACCCTACCTGTACCCTTTGCTCTTCACAGGACCTCCTATCTTGCTCCCTGGTCCCCTCCTCCCACGCACGATTGCAAGACTTCTCCAGGTCCTCCCCCATCCTCTGGAACTCACTAACCCAATCCATCAGACTGTCACCTTCCCTCCTCACCTTCAGGCGCTCCCTGAAAACCCACCTCTTCAGGAAAGCCTACCCCACCCTCACCTAACAGCCGCTCTCCTTCATTCCTCCTACCACTCCATCCCCCACAGCCACTTCCTCCTGTACCACTACCCCCTCCCTTCTAGATTGTAAGCTCGAAAGAGTAGGGCCCTCTAACCCCTCGTTTGCTGTTTGTTGTTGCTGTACTGTTTCATGTATTGTCCCCCCCTCTATTGTACAGCGCTGAGCAAACTCTTTGGCGCTATATAAACTCGATGTAGTAATAATAATAATAATAATAATAATAAATGGTCACAGTAGGTGTGCAGATCTACGAACTCAAGCAAAGAGAGCCCATCACAAGAGACTTAAAGCAGTATTAAACCCAAAATTTAAAAAAAGTATTACACTGCAGCTCACCAATCATTGGATATGGTGGCTGCATCAATATTCTTTTTGGCTGTTTTCACCTGGTGATCTGGCCAGTAACACACCTCCTGCATTAGTGAAACACCATTTTGGAGGAATAAGCCAGGGCCCAGCAGAGAGCAGCATTGTCAGTCCGCTGTGTCCAGCTAACACTTTATAATCAGTTATCGCAAACATTTTTTTTCCTTTTGGGATAAAGGTTTCACATGAATAAATAAACGGTCATTTTAATCACCCCTGTCAGTGAGCTCGAGTTGCTGGCTGAATTTCCAGATGAAAATAGAAGAAAGCAAGCCAGAAAAAGGAACCTAATGCAGCCATTACATCTAAGAACTGGTAAGTTGCAATATAATAAAATGTTTGTTTCTGGGTTTAATGCAACTTTAAGAATGTCTGCAGACGGCCCCCAGTACAATAATCTAATGGGTAATCAATTGACTCAAATGAATTTTTATGGTAGCTCACCAACGCTTTCCCATAAGGCAGCCTCCTTGAAAAGAGGAAGGGGTGGAGGCGTCTCCTGTCTCCAGTTTGCTATAGAAATCACTATTTTGCTATCACAAAAAGTAAAATAAACACTAATAAAAATGACAGCATCATAATACAAAAGCTTTATGCTCTAACCTCTGTGTTGTTCTGTCTCTTCAATGGGATCTGGCAGTTCGATCTTTGGCCAAGGTGGTTCAGATAAGGAAGTTTTAGGTACATAGCTGAAAAGCAGTATTACATTGAAATATTTCAAAATCAGAAGCAATCACATGAAATAGCAAAATGGTACTCTGTAGGCACATTCACTCCATAACGAACTTTACCTCAACAGACACAATTTCATGTGTTGAGGTGCATTGCGTTAAGCAGTCTGTTTCTTATGAATGGACATTCAATGAACCTCAATGTAAAATAAAAAAAAAGTCCAGTATGATTCTTTTTAGCAAAGTGCAAACCATAGAGCATATGCATGTGTGCATTGTAGATGTGCCTCTGGGTGCAATTACCTTTGAATGGCACATATGCAGTACACCACACTGAAACATGTGTCAAGATACACACTCTTTATGGGGTAAAAATGAAATAAATATTACCAAACCTAATATAAAAGGGCTTTAGACTTCCAGGTATAAAGTTGAAATCCCCCCTGCCCCTTGGTGGACATTGGATGTCCTGGAAGGCCTGAATGTACACTGCTCAAAGGAACACTTTTTAATCAGAGTATAGCTTCAAGTCAATGAAACTCCTGGGATATTGATCTGGTCAGGTAAGTAGCAGAGGGGGTTGTTAATCAGTTTCAGCTGCTTTGGTGTTAATTAAATTAACACCAGGTGCACTAGATGGGCAACAATGAGATGACCCGCAAAACAGGAATGGTTTTACAGGTGGAGCCCACTGACATTTTTTTTCCCTACTAATTTTTTCTGTTTTACAATAGTTTTGCATTTGGCATGTGTCAGTGTCACTACTGGTCGCATGAGGCGATACCTGGACCCTGCAGAGGCTGCACAGGCAGTTCAACTCCTCCAGGATGGCACATCAATACGTGCCAATGCAAGAAGGTTTGATATGTCTCCCAGCAAGAGCATGGAGGAGATTCCAAGAGACAGGCAGTTACTCTAAGAGAGCTATATAGGGCCAGAGAAGGTCCTTAACCCATCAGCAGTACCGGTATCTGCTCCTTTGTGCAAGGAGGAACAGGATGATCACTGCCAGAGCAAAATTACCTCCAGCAGGCCACTGGTGTGAATGTCTCTGACAAAACAATCAGAAACACACTTCATGAGGGTGGCCTGAGGGCCGCATGTCCTCTAGTGCGCCCTGTGCTCACTGCCTAGCACCATAAAGCTCGATTGGAATTTGCCATTGAACACCAGAATTGAGCACATGTAACAGATGTGAAAGGGTCTGGAGAAGCCGTGGAGAATGTTATGCTGCCTATAAAATCGTTCAGTATGACCATTTTGGTGGTGGGTCAGTGATGGTCTGGGGAGGCATATCCATGCAGGGACACACAGACCTCTACAGGCTAGACAATGGCATCCTGAATGCCATTAGGTATCGGGATGAAATCCTTGGACCCATTGTCAGACCCTACGCTGGTGCAGTGGGTCCTGGGTTCCTCCTGGTGCACGACAATGCCCAGAACATGTGGCGAGAGCATGCAGGCAGTTCCTAGAGGATGAAGGAATTGAAACCACTGAATGGTCCCCACGCTCGCCTGACCTAAATCCAATAGAACACCTCTGGGATATCATGTTTCGGTCCATCTGACGTCGCCAGGTTGCACTTCAGACTGTCCAGGAGCTCAGTGATGCCCTGATCCAGATCTGGGAGGAAATACCCCAGGACACCATCCGTCGTTTCATTAGGAGCATGCCACAACATGATCAGGCATGCATACAAGCACGTGGGGGCCATACAAACTACTGAGTACCATTCTGAGTTGCTGCAATGAAATTTCATCAAAAAGGACTAGCCTGCTGCATAATTTTTTTTACTTAGATTTTTGGGGTGTCTTTGAATTCAGTCCTCCATAGGTTGATCATTTTAATCAAACGATGGGGCATCCTTATGTTCCTAACACATTACCCAGTACATATCAGTATAGATATACAACATATTTTTTCCTCCAGAGATCTGATGTGTTTTCAAATTGTTCCTTTAACTTTTTTTGAGCAGTGTACTTCGACACCCTTGGTTCTGATGCATTGGCTTTGTGTAAAACAGGCTCCGTGTGAGCCAAGATGTAGTATCTCTGTTTTACAAGGACTAACGCTGGGCAACCCAAGCAGTAGGCTGGATCCAACGCAGACTTTTGTGGGTTAAGAATGCACCCAATGCTCTCAAGTGTCCAAATCATCTGTTGTACATTGGCAGCCAGGGTTGGAGAGGCGTGATCTTTCAAGAGACAGTAGTCCAGATAACCAATGAGTATTACTCGAGAGCATGGCAGCTCAGCAATCAGGGGTAAGCACCCAGGGTGGCCGTGGACAGACCAAAAGGGAATAGCCATAAACTGGAAGTACTGTTTCCTCACCACAAGTCACAGATGTTGCTGATGAGGGGGAAAAAAAAATGAAGATTTGCAAATACACATCTCTAATGCCTATCGATGCTAGAAATTCCCTTTGTTGCAGTGATACAGTCAGACTAGGCTATTTGAAATACCCTGATTTTAGGTGGCTGCAAAGGCCAGTAGAGCTCCTTACAATTGTACAAGTGGTAGTGCCCCTCCATGAGAAGAGGAATGGTGGAAGACTTGCAACGTCCTGAACTTGCAACAGATTGGAAGACTTGGCTTTGGAAGCGGAGATCTGGTAGGAACAAAAGAACCTTTTCTGAAATTCAAAAGTGGCAGACTTTGCTGTGGGCAACATTTTTCTTACTGGGCAACAAGAGTGCTCTTTGCACCCATGACTTCCTTGATAAAGGTGTTGTAATGCCTATGAAATGTGTTGGCCTTGGAACCTTTGTTTCTTTGGTAATTTTTACAATAAAGCATAGCATTGTTGCACAGATGCCAGGAGCATGAGAAATGACTGATGTAATTTCTCTAGGCTAAAGGAACAGAGTCACCATCAAATCACAAGACATTAGACTGCTTAAAGCAGATAAGAACTTGTTTGTGGAATAGAACGTGTTTGTGACATCTAGAAATGTTACATTAGACTGCTTAAATTATATAAGAACTTGTTTGTGCAATTAAAGATGTCTACTTGCTTGAGAAGTTAGAAATCTTCAAGTTTAGGGTAGATAAGAAGATATCTTTAAAGTTTAGGGTAGATAAGAAGCTGATTTGAAGCAAAAGTGTGATATTCTTAGATAACGCAGGGTAGTGGCTGGGCATGACTGTTATCTTCACAGAACCTTTCTGCTAGCTACTCCTGACTGGGTGTGGCGCCCCACCCACTTCAGGAAAGCTGCCAGAAAAAGGGTTTAAACAGGGAGCTTAAGCGTTCCTCAATGGGAGCCTTCCTATGCAGATGAGGACGCTCTGATGCTGGGACTCTTGCCAACACTATATGGGCTCATCGATTGGTTGCATTTACAGCTTCCTCGTGACCCCCTGTGCATTATGGTTCTGATGTGGTCTGTTCCTTCCCATCTTCCCATAGCTTTGGTTATGTATTAATTCTAAGCTGTGACGCTGTCAAAAGATATGTCTATTTCATGCTGCAATGCTCACATTATTATTGGTGTGTGTTATTATGCAGATTGTGATGACTATAAGATTTATCCTCCTGTGTGTCGTGTGATAATAAAAGTAGAGGTTTTAACAGTGCAAGAATATTGCAGTTGGATTCTGTTATTTCTTGGAGTGCCGAGTGAATGCTATGATGTGCCAGGGCAGGTGTTCATTTGGAAGAGGGTCTTTCACATGCTTAGAATAATTAATGGTGTAAATGCTGCTTAAATGTACCTGTGTGTGTGTAATTGTGTGTATATGACTTGCTTTTAGTTATTGCATCCAGCATTGCATTACAGGTGTCTAATGACAAACAAAGTCATTCTCTGTCAAATGGTAACCCTTCTAGATGTTTCTCACAAACTCTCTCCACAGAACAATTCTGCAGGCAAAGACGACTACACATCTGTACTGACATGAGAGTCAGGCAAGGAATTTGGTGTAGGGAAATACACAATAGCACAAGGTTACTGGGAGAAGCTCCAGTTTTTTGAGCACCGAGGGATCCATAAGGATTTCGCCAGTGTTGTGCATCATATGCATAGCCCAGACTGCCATTGTTTGACAAATGGCCATTAGCACCACCAGCAGTTACATGGCCAAGCTCCCAGAGCAAGTGAGGCTTTAAAGAGAGACTCAATCCTTTTGTCTGTCAGGTCTTTGAAGACGGAGATTCTCAACAGGTACCAAAACAGATTTAAGACAGGAAATTTCCTGGATCCACCACAGGCACTTAGGACTTTTTGTGGTAGGTCTTCTCCACTGGTCAGGTTTTTATTGCTGCCTCTGATCCTAGAGAGATTCACCCTCTATATTTGTCCTGTTTACCATTATCATTGAAGCTAAAAAAAATCCCAAATTTTGGTTTTCCCCAGAAAAGTAATAGGGGAGAAATCGTCCAATGCATACACTAATTCTCGTGACCTGCTCCCCCCCTCAAGAGGTTTCCTTAATTTGCAGGGATTGTTCTTCACTTTCTGTTTTGGCTATAGGAAAGAAGGTGAAGGAAAATATCCCCAATGGGACACAGGACTGACAGGGGTTATAACCCACCCTTACTCCATCCAAAATGGGGGAAAAAAAAAAACAAAAACGTTTTGTCTATAGTTCTACTTTAATCATTTTTAATGTTCAAAGCACTTGTTCTTGATTAAGAGAGTTTAGTTCCAATTTAATAAGATTATGGACAAATACACACATATGTGGTAATTTAATTGATAAGTCTCCCTCCCTATTTCTGCAGTTATATTGTGGATAGCAGTTTTTTTGGAGCCCCTCTTAGGAACAGTTGAGCGATTCCCAAATAATGTTAATTCAACGTATTAATAGAATTTGAGAGTAGTAATTTACTGAAATATCCTTTTCAATCCAAAACAGCACATGAAAGTGATATGTTCATGTTTTTTTAAAGTAAGGTGTTTTACACGGAGGAAGAACATTGCAAGTAAGAGGAGAAAGGCTGCATTATTGTCACAATTCATGAGAGGAAGTTCAGATTATTATAGATGTTAATTGGCAATTATTTTAGTGTTAGGGTTATGAGCAGTGAGCTCATGCAGAAGATAGGACAGTTTTACACTTCTGCTCTGCTGGGGAGAGAACACTTGTAAACAAAAATCAAGTAATACCTATGAGTTTAGTCTATGTCATTATACCAATTAGACCCCATTCACATGGGTGGCCGAGGGAGGAATGTTTTCTGCACTCAAAGTCGGCTACACGAGATTCAGCTGTACTCTGCGCTATGGCCACATGCAAACTAGCCGATTAGCTAAAGCCACCACAGAACTGTTGCCCCGGAACACACACTGTGGTTTATTTGCTAAAGCTGAAGAGTGCAAAATCAGGCTCACTTCTGCATAGAAAACAATCAGCTTCCAGGTTTTATTGCAAAGGTTTAACTGAACAAACTGAGGCTAGAAGCTGATTATTTTCTATGCAAAAGCAAGCCTGATTTTACACTCTTAAGCTTTAGCAAATAAACCCCACTGTCTATGTCCACCGTTTGTCAGAGGCTCTATTTGCATGTAACCACCAGACGAACAGTTAAAGCCTACCTCTAACTTTATTGTGACTTTAAATAGTTCGTTTGGCCCAAGCTTGTCCAAAAGAACCATTTCTTTTACTAAAAAATGGGCCTGTTGTGAATGCTGTGCAAACTGAATGTATCATCAGCTGCATACAGTATACGGTGCAGCGTTCTATCACAGGGGCGGGGACTTGCCATCCAATCACCCAGAACAAAATCGAGTCACAGTGAGCACTGTCCAGCTATTCATAGGTAGCTTTGTATTCTATGAACAAATACAGGGCTTTCTCTGATTGGCTGAGGTGGAAGTTGTAAAATCATCTATCCACCTCAACCAATCAGAGGAAGTCTTGTATTAATTCATAAAATACAAAGCTTCCTTTGAATGGCTGAATAGTGCTCAGCCTGACTTGATTTTGTTCCTGGAACGCCACTGCTACTGTTTGTATATCACTTAGCACTGCCAGCAACAATCCACTGTTGCCTGCAGCTGCCCATGTTAATGTACCTTTAAGCAAAGAAAATTCCCAGAACAATGCAACAAACTGATTTTATATAGCCACAGGCTTGCACCTGAATAAAAACCAGAAGGCATGGGCAGGCTGTGTAATCTGTATGCATTTCAGGGCTACATTTTCAATGGAGTTTACCGTATACATCCAGTCTATCACATCAATTCCGAAAAGCAAACAATGCTTATATGAAATGTAATATTCAAAATCCTGAGGGAATGAGATGTGACATTTACCTAGGCTGCAGAGAAGAGCTTCGTGAGCACAGGTATCTAAGAGATGGCCGGGAGCAACGTGACTGAAATGAAAAAGAAGACATACATAATAAGCAAGTATAAAAATGAAGTTAGCGTCTATAAACATTAAAATCCAATTCATTATTCATTTAAGCAAATGGAACCACTTTATCTATAAAATATACTGATTTTTTTTACATCATACCTAAAACAGTGTTATGTAAAGGTCTAAACACACAATTGACTAAACTAGAACAATCTTTGCCATAACAATCTACAGCAATGTGAAGTTAACCACTTCAAGTCCGGACACTTTCACCCCCTTCCAGTCCAGGCCAGCTTTCAGCGCTATCACACTTTGAATGACAATTACGTGGTCATGCAACACTGTACCCATATGAATTTTTTAGCATTTTTTTGAGACAGATACAATTTTATTTTCGTGGCATTTATTCACCACTGGGATTATTTTTTTTTCTTACATAAATTAAAAATTCCAAAAATGTTTTTAAAAAAGTGCTTTTCTTATACAGTTTTGAAAATAATCTTTCTTCATAAATATTGGCCAAAATGTATTCAGCTTTTTTTAGTAAAAAAAAAACAAAAAAAAACCCAAATTAGTTTATAACCAAAAATTATAATTTTTCCTAAATTTTTTTACGTTATTCTATTTTTTATTATTTATGCTTTTTTTGTTTTTTTTTTAAACATACTGTCACCCTAGCAGTACAGTGAACCAGTTAAGATTTTTATTTCTTTTGTTTTACACTGATTGCTTTTACACCCATAAAGGCTGTAAAAGCAATAATTTCTCCTCTCTGGCTGCATTCTTGGAAATACTGTGAGAGCTGTGATTGGTCATAGCTTGTCTCATGGTACAAGGCTGTTGTGAATAGCCTTGTACCATGTGACCTCTGCGATCATTCACAGACTTCACAAGCAGTAAACAATGATGTCAGGAAGTGACATCTTGTTTACTACTGCTCATGTGATCACCGATTGGCCAATCAGTGATCACAAGAATCGGGACCTCACACAGAGGTCCCGTACAGCGATCTGTGTTCCGCTGTGTCCTCCGGACATAGCGGGCACCAGATCGCGGTACGCGCGCTCCCAGGGAGCGCACACAGGCAGGGAATGCGGGAGGATGTTTATAAACATCCACCCGCATCGGAAGAACTCCCGTCCGGCCGTTTATCTACAGGGGCTGGACAGGAAGAGGTTAAAATCACATGCCTGCAAAGTACAGTATATCTTCTTAAAAGGGTATTTATGAGTCAGCAAATCCAGCACAAATCCTAAGAATTTTAAAGCAAAATTACAGGTAAAAAAACCTTTTTTTGCCTTGTGTTGTGTACAGAGAAGTTACCACTAATTCTGATTATCTTAAATCTGCATCACTGCTGTGTAAAGTAATAATCTCAGTTTCTTTCATGCTGGAAAATATAGCCAGCATTGTACTTCTGGCGCTGTGGGTAGGAGAACTGTTGGAGCTGTGGCTCTCATACAGTGATGAAGGCACCTGTCATATACCCTTGTTTCCTTCTCCCCTTGTTCATACACAAAATGTCTTGTATTCTGTGAATGGACAAGGGGGATCCCATTGTTTACCCGCCTCTCACACTGTCCATTCACAAATACCTTTAATCTTCTAAACAGATTACATTGCGTTCTGTACATGGCCAAGAGGAGAGGAACGGGAGGGTAAATTAAAGGATGACTTCAACTCCCTGTACACAGAACAAGGCAGAACAAACTTTTGTTGGAGTTCTTCTTTAATTTCAGGATAGAGGGTGGAGACATGCAAAAATGACTTCATAGTCCTGGACCAACTGTCAGATCTATTGTTTTTGACATAATATTTTTGTGACAGCATTTTCCCCCCAAAACATAAGGGCTCAAAAGAAATTTGGAACAATTATTGACATGATATTTATATTCTTAGCATGAAAGTTCTGTTGTCATTAAAATGTTGGGATAAAGAGGCTATATTATCTTCCAGGGTTAAAGTAGATGTCAACCCAATCATAAAATCCTCATGCTATCTTTAAAATGGTAAAAATTATTTCAGAAGTTTTTTTCAATCTTTCTAAATCTACATTCTCCAACAAAATATCAACCAGTAATTCCTGCCATGAAAATCCTTGTTCAAACGCTTCCTATGATGGAACTTTCAATGTTTCCCAGATGCTCTTCTGCCCTGTCACATGTGCTCCCAGTGAAGCCTAAAGGCACCCATGTTGATACTAAACGTGCAGCCATGTTCCACTAATGTCACCATCAAAAAGCCTGCCATGAGAAATGCAGTGTAGATGAGGTTTAAACTGGTTTCACCATAAACAAGTCCTGGTACAAAAATATTATACTGTATTATACTAACTGTACGATACTATTCATAAATATTGTCCATTGACAGACACATTTATCTAAACTGCATATAGTGTTACACATTGTATTCATTACCTTTCTTATTTTTATATATATTATATATATATATATATATATACACACACACACACACACACATATACACATATACACATATACACACACACAAAGGAACAATTTTTAAGAGTATAGAATCAAGTCAATTAAACTCCTGGGATATTGCCATATTGCCAGAAGGTTTGCCGTGTCTCCCAGAACAGTCTCAAGAGCAAGGAAAGAGATTCCAGGAGACAGGCAGTTACTCTAGGAGAGCTGGACAGTGCCATAGAAGGTCCTTAACCCATTAGCAGGACCGGTATCTGCTCCTTTGTGCAATGAGGAACAGGATGAGCACTGCCAGAGCCCTACAAAATGACCACCAGCAGGCCACTGGTGTGAATGTCTCTGACCAAACAATCAGAAAACAGACTTCATGAGGGTGGCCTGAGGGCCCGACTTCCTCTAGTGGGCCCTGTGCTCACTGCCCGGCACCATAGAGCTTGATTGCCATTGAACATCAGAATTGGAAGGTCCGCCACTGGTGCCCTGTGCTTTTCACAAATGAGTGCAGGTTCACCCTGAGCACATGTGACAAACGTGAAATGTTCTGGAGAAGCCCTGGACAATGTTATGCTCCCTATAAAATAGTTCAGCACGACCATTTTGGTGGTGGCTCTATGATGGTCTGGGGAGGCATAAGGACAACTTCTGCTTTCAATCGCCTAGGCCAGGGGTAGGCAACCTGCGGCTCTCCAGCTGTTGCAGGACTACAAGTTCCATCATGCCTCTGCAAGTCATAGATGTAACTGTCAGTTTTGTAATGTTGCAATGCCTCATGGGAAATGTAGTTCCACAACAGCTGGAGAGCCGCAAGTTGCCTACCCCTGGCCTAGGCGGTCACAGTGGAAGTGGGAGCAGGTAACTGTCAAAATCGAGTACCTGCTCCCCCACCAGCAAAGTTGCTAATCCTTAACAGGGAGTGGGGGCTTAAAGCGGAACTTCCCCCTTTGAGTAGAGCTCCACCTTAACATAGAACTGATGTTGTTACAAGTAAAGATGACTGCAACTTCAAGCATTTGCTCTTTTTTTTTTCTCTGCCTCTAAACTCCCCTCCATGTTAGCCTAGGTGTTCATGCACACTATAGGCATTTTCAGGAGTTTAGTGGCAGGGTAGTTTACAGGCAGAACCCCCCCCCCCCCCAAAAAAAAAAAAACCTTATTTGTGCATTCAGGAGAAGAGTTTTTGAACATAAAAAATGTTCAAAAGCGCAATAATGCATGTTTCTGCGTTAATCCATTCTAATGGCCAGAATTCTGGCCAAAGGAATTCATTAAGGCCAGACACGAGAACAAATGTTAAAGCCCATGCAAAAATGGGGCTTTTTAACCGTGTTTTTGATGCTGTAAGCTCCTGTAGGAGAAAATCCGTTTTTAAGCTCACAGTGTGCACGAGGCCTTAATGTGTATCCAAAGATCTCTACCCAAAAAAGAATTTGAGGATCAGGTTAATTATGGCCTTCAGCAATCCCATTTGGGTTGCTCTCAGACCAGTAGCATGTATTGTGCAAGTTGACATTACCATTAGGATGAAATAAAGCTTCATCATTTTAACACACCAGTAATCTTGCTGTTTTAAGAACCACCATACATAATATTCCATACACCTGTCTGCTTCATTCAGAACCTGGACTAGATGCACTCTGAGAGATGGATTCAACCATGTACACGATTGTCTGTTTGTGGGTACATATAATGCATCCAGAAAGTATTCACAACGCTTAACTTTTGCCACATTTTATGTTACAGCCTTATTCCAAAATGGATTAAATTCATTTTTTTTCCTCAACATTCTACAAACAATACCCCATAATGACAACGTGAAAGAAGTTAGTTTTGAAATCTTTGCAATTTATTAAAAAAACAAAAGAAAAAAAACAAAAAAAAAAAAAACAAAACACATGCACATAAGTATTCACACCCTTTGTCATGACACTCAAAATTGAGCTCTGGTGCATCCTGTTCCCACCGATCATCCTTGAGATGTTTCCACAACTTGATTGGAGTCCACCTGTGGGAAATTCAGTTGATTGGACATGGTTAGGAAAGGCATAAACCTGTCTATAGAAGGTCCCACAGTTAACAGTGCATATCAGAGCACAAACCAAGCCACTAAGTCCAAGGAATTGTCCGTAGCCTCCGACACAGGATTGTACCAAGGCACAGAGAAATTTCTGCAGCATTGAAGGTCCCAATGAGCAGTGGCCTCTATCATCCGTAAATGGAAGAAGTTTGGAACCACCAGGAATATTCCAAGAGCAGGCCACCTGGCCAAAATGAGCAATCGAGGGAGAAAGGCCTTAGCCAGGGATGTAACCAAGCACCTGATGGTCACTCTGAAAGAGCTCCAGTGTTTCTCTGTGGAGAGAGAACATTTCAGAAGAACAACCATCTCTGCAGCACTCAACCAATCAGGCCTGTATGGTAGAGTGGCCAGAGGGAAGCCACTCCTCAGTAAAAGGCAAATGGTAGCCCGCCTGGAGTTTGCCAAAGGGCACCTGAGGGACTCTGACCATGAGAAACAAAACTCTCTGGCCTGATGAAACAAAGATTGAATTCTTTGGCCTGAATGCAATGCATCATGTCTGGAGGAAACTAGGCACCGCTCACCACCTGGCCAATATCATCCCTACAATGAAGCATGGTGGTAGCAGCATTGTGCTGTGGGGATGTTTTTCAGTGGCAGAAAACCCTTGATAAAAACCTGTTCCAAAGCATTCTGGTCCTTAGACTGGAGAGACGGTTAATCTTTAAACAGGACAACGACCCTAAGCACACAGCCCACACAACAAAGGAGTGGCTACGGGCCAACTCTGTGAATGTCTTGGAGTGGCCCAACCAGAGCCCAGACTTGAAACCAACTGAACATTTCTGGAGAGATCTGAAAATGGCTGTCCACTGACACTCCCCATCCAACCTGATGGAACTTGAGAGCTACTGCAAAGAAAAATGGGAGAAATTGCCCAAAAATAGGTGTGCCAAGCTTGTAGCATCATGTTCAAAACGACTTGAGGCTGTAATTGGTGCTAAAGGGGCTTCAACAAAGTATACAGGAAAGGCTGTGAATACTTATGAACGTGTTTTTTTATTTTTAATAAATTGCAAAGATTTCAAAACAAACTTTTCACGTATTGTTTGTGGAATGTTGAGGAAAAAAAATTTAATCCATTTTGGAATAAGGCTGTAAAATAACAAAATGTGACAAAAGATAAGCGCTCCTGCTTGGCTCTGACCCCAGTAACCCATAACTCAACATCACATCTCTCTTATTGATTGATGATACCCTCACAATGGGGTTGTGGGAGAGCAGAAAAGACATACAAGGGTTCTATAAGACCCCGGATCCCTCCTAAGCATCTGATCAAACCAACATTGGCCCTTTAAGGGTTTCAAAAGCCAGGAGGTGGGTGGGGTTTTAGGGTCATGTGACTCACTGTCACAGCAGTCACATGATTGTGAAAGCTCCCAATCACAAATGGAGATCGGGACCTTTCCGTGAGTACCGGACATGTGTGCTGGGAGCGTGCAGGGCGCGCGCTCTAAGCACATTTTTTTTTTAATTGCCCGCAAATGTGCCACTCGGCGTCAAGGCCCAGACGCCAAGAGGCCGCACATTTGCGTGTGCTCGGCCTGAAGAGATTAAAGGTGACAACCATTGCTCTATGCCCTAAACGTTAGCTGTGAGTGCTGAGTCCTGAGGAATGTATATAAGTGCACGGCTCTATTTAAAGCGGAGCTACACTTCCCTTTTCTTCAACGGTCTCCATCCCCCGTCGGCATCTTCTTCTGTTTGCTGCTCTTTGGCCGTCTTCATTGGCCAGCGTGGGATTTTGGCACACCTACACATGCACAGGAGTCAGTCATCCCGGCACACCAGGGCCATGCTGGAGAACGCTGCGAGCAGACAGGTAGGTGTTATTTGGCTGCGGGAGAGACTTTGTAAGTCTCTTTTGCAATAATGAGCCTGCCTGCTCGCAGTTTTGTGACAGCGGAACTTTAGTTCCTCTTTAACCGCTAGCCTACAGGGCACGTATACCCCCTTTCTGCCCAGGCCAATTTCCAGCTTTCAGCGCTGTCACACTTTGAATGACAATTGCGCGGTCATGCAACACTGTACCCATATGAAATTTTTATCATTTTTTTGAGACAGATAGAGCTTTCTTTTGGTGGTATTTAATCACCTCTGGGATTTTTTTTTTTTCTTAAACAAACCAAAAACCACTGAAAATTTTGAAAAAAAATGTTTTTTCTTAGTTTTTGTTATACAATTTTGTAAATAAGTGATTTTTCTCCTTCACTGATGTGCGCTAATGAGGCTGCAGTGATGGGCAGTGATGGGCACTGATAGGTGGCACATATGAGGAGGCACTGGTAGGTTGCACTGATGGGCATTGACAGGCATCATTGATAGGCACTGAAAGGCAGCACTGATACATGACACTGATACATGACACTGATGGGTGGCACTGACAGGCACTGATAGGTGGCACTGATGGGTGACATTGAAAGGCAGCTCAGATGGGCACTGATATGTGGCATTGATGTGCACTGGTATGCACTGATATGTGGCATTGATGTGGCACTGATGGGCACTGGCACATGGCACTGATGGGCACTGGCACTGATAGGTGGCACTTCTGGGGCCACACTGATCATCAGGGCACACTGATCAACAGTGCCCTGATGATCAGTGTACATGTCCCCTCCGCGGAAAGCCGATTACCGGCTCTCCTCTCGAGCTGTCAGCGTGACAGCTCGAGAGGAGAGAAATGCCGATAACCGCCATTTCCGTGCTTACATGTGATCAGCTGTGATTGGACACAGCTGATCACATGACCAAGCCGACATCTTTGGCTCTTTCCGTGATCCGCTGTGTCCGAGGGACACAGTGCACCGCCGATCGCCGCGCGCTCCCTGAGCCGCGCATGTGCAGTGAAAATGGTAGGATGTCATATGACATCCTATCAGAAAGAGAACCACCTTGCGCCCGTCTTTGTACTAAAGGGCGGGCGGAAGGTGGTTAAAAAGATTTTTGTTGTTTTTTTTTTCCCTTAAATAACAAACATGTCATACTCACCTGCTCTGTCCTTTTCTCGGATCCCCTGCTAGCGCTCCTGGCCCCTCCCTCCTGCCTGTGATTGACAGCAGCTGCAGCCAAGAGCAATGAGGAGGGAGAATCCCCAGAGAGCCGAGGCTCTCGTGCACATTGCTGGCTCAGATAAAGCCTGCCATACACGGGTGGAATTCTGAACGAGATTTCTTCAGAAAAATCAGAAATTTGGTGTGTTTTGTAATCTGATGGGGCCCTCGTTGATTTTGAAATTTTACCAATCAAGACTTCAATTTCACCTCGTGTTGCTACAGAAAAGAATTTAGTAGCCAAGAATCTTCTTTTCTTTCCAGGTCACAGTTCATGCACATTTGTTTTTGATAACATTTCTCGCACAATTCTCCCATCATTGATTAGAAATTTATTTATTTTTTAATTTCCAACATGCCTGATCAAATTTGATGGCCGCATGAAAATCGTCCGATGCTGTGGCCTATTAATGGTGCAAAATTCAAACTAAAATTCTTAGGTATGATTTTCTAAAAAAAAAATTATTTTGGAATTCGAACCATGAATGCCTGAATTAGTATAAGGATGGGGGGGGGGGGGGGGTGGAGCTGCAAACAGGTTTTTTATCTTCATGCATAAGAATGCACAAAAGTAAAAAACCTTGAGCCTTTACAAGCACTTTAATGCTGCTGAGTCTACTTTGGAGGTGGAAGACACTATAGCGGGATTTATCAAGGTTGGAGCAGCTGTGCATAGCAACCACCAGATTCTGACTTCAGCTTGCTCAGTGAAGCTTTGAAAATGAAAGAAGCTGATTGGCTGCCACGTACAGCTGCTCCAGTTTAGATAAGTTCCCTCTATGTAGTCAAGTAGAAAAGTGTTAAAAGGCAAGAGACTTCTGTGGCCACATTCACACCTGTGCATTTCAGGAACGTGCCAAAATGCACATTGTGCTTGCCGTACCATTATTTCTTAATGGTACTCCAAAGGTGGCTAGCAGAGGCGCGTTTTGTTGCGCTAAAACCCACAGTACAAAAAATAAATGAAAAAAAAAACATAAAAGGTCACCACCCAAAAAAAAAAAAGGAGCTGCATGTAAGGCAGTCCATTCAAGGGAAAGGGCTGCCCCATGCTGATGCACATAAGCTCAACATACTCCTAGATTGTAAGCTCCAAGGATCAGGCCCTCCTATCCCTCTTGTATTGAACTGTATTGTCTCCTGTTATATTGTAAAGCGCTGAGCAAACTGTTGGCGCTATATAAATCCTGTATAATAATAATAACAACATATAGGTGTGAATGGGGTCTTAGTTCAAAGAATAAAATCCTCCCTTATGTAGACAACCAAACACCCCCCTAGACTGCTGCTGGATACCGCCATCTTGGATGTGATGCCAGCGGCCCCAGCATACTCGCAGCTGTCACCTAAGTGGCGCTCTGTAGTATTCCCCTTCAATCATTCCCCCACTACATAAAATGCTGAGAGGAGGTGCGGAGGAGCTGGGCCAACATAGACTGTATTTGGACACTCCCAGAAGAGGAGGGGCTATGATGTGCAAGGTGGAAGTGGCCTGTGCTGGGAAATAACTATTCCTGAAAAAAATGCCAATGTACTGCAATGCAGCAATACTGTATTGGTTGGCTGGTGACAGGTTCTCTTTAATGGGTGAACTTTCATTGTTCAGAGAACTAAGACCCCGCATTCTGTGACAACGGAAGGTGACCCTCCACTATAATCCCTGACCTCTTCTCAGACATAGGTGAATGACCCCCATATACTGTGTGAATGTCACTCAGCCACAGGCCCGGTAACCACCAACCTCCCTTCCTCCCCCATTACCTGCTCCTGCAGCCCCGACTCCCCGTGCACCCAGCACACTCCGCACCAGCAGCCTACACCCTGCCAGAGCCATGCCGCTCCAACTTCCGTACCCTGCACTGCACCGCTTCCGTACAACGTGCACCCACAAACACTGACCCCGGGAAACACGGTCCAGACAGAAAGTTCCGCCTACACAGGAAACGCCGGGGAACATGGCTTAGTGGACAAGGGGCTGACAGCTGCCTGAGAGAATAGTGTGCTGCAGCACCGGGATGGAGGAGTTTATTAAAACCCAGCTAGAGCTCCTGAAGGAGGAGAGAGAAGCTGAAATTGAAGAGACCAGGTATGAGGGGAATGGCTTCTCCTGTGCACACAACACTCCCTCAGACTCTGCAGTATGTGTCTGCCGGTCAGTGGGGTGATGGAAGTGGGGAGGGCAGCTTTGTACTGAGCCTGTGGGAAGAGTCATTCCACCCAATGTTAAAAATATAACTAATTCCGAGACCTCTGTTTTCATATTGGATGGACTAGTGAAGGGCCAATCGCCTGTCAGGTGGGTTTCTCACATCTATGTCCCAGAGGGAGATTTCCTCACATATCCTGTCCTGTAAGGCTCCATGTACACTGCAACAGATAAACTCACGTTTAGGAGCTTTTCGGCATTTTTTTTCAGCAGCCCCTGAACTCTCCCTAATGTTTTCCTATGTGTACACGTAGTAGTTTACAGTCATTTACAGGAAGCTGAGTTTACAGTCGGTTTTTTTGGACGCGCCAAACTTGCATTCAGGAGTAGAATAAGCGTTTGGAAAACTCTTTTAACTCTTCCATTTCCTTTGGTTGGCTCTGAGGAAGAGGTTGTGTCCTCGAAACGCGTTAGCCAGTTGGTCATCCAGGGTTCCATCGTATGGACTCAGATGTTGTTTGGATCATACATCTTGTTCAGTTTGTCATGCCTGTGTTATTATGTCCTTTGTGAGTATGATACCTATTTTTGTTTCTTTAATAAATTACCATATAAAGTACCATGTGACCTGCTGTGACCAATCACAGCAGGTCACATGACAGTTGAATACAATGGATGGCTTCCTTTCATGCCATCCATTGTATACAAGTGTGTCTATCTGTGATTGCTGTGATCACAGCTAAGCAAAAACAAAACCCGGATTGAATCGATTTCATTCAGGTAAATGCTTGCTTATAGCAAAGTAATTCTTTGCTATAAGCAAATTGTGTGTAAAAAAAAAAAAAAAAAAAAATACTGATCACTTCTCTAAAGTAGTACAATGTTACTATGGTAACATTCTACTACTTTGGTCATAGTGAATATATAAAAAAAAAAAGTAATAAAAAATAATAAAACAAAAATTATACATTTTTTTTTTTCCGTACTGTCACCAGTCAGTGTCCCTGATCACCGCCATGCCAGTTATATGATGTTGCTGTACTGCACTGGTGACAATATGTAAAAGAAAAAAAAATGGTGAAAATTATATTTTTTAATTTCTTCATTTTCCGAAAAATGAAAAGGATGGATGCAAATATGGATAAAGAATCTGGGGAAAAAAGACTTGAACTCTGGCCTGACAAGTGGATTCTCCACCACGACAATGGTCCTGCAGATGACGTGTTAAATGTTCATGAGTTCCTGCCCCAGAAATCAGTTTTGAAACTTGACCAACCACCTTATTGCCGTGACTTAGCACCCTGCAACTTTTGGCTTTTTCCAAAATTAAAAAATGTCTTAAAAGGACACAGATTCTATGACATTCCAGTCATCCAGTACACTGTGACAAAGATGGAAAATGATTTCCAGGATTGTTTCCGGCAGTAGCACAGTTGTCTAGAAAAGTGCGACGCTTCACAAGAGGGCTACTGTGAAGGTGACAACAGCTGATAGAACAGGGGTAGGCAACCTTAAAGAGGGGGAGATCTAGCTGAACAACATGAGAGAAAACAAAGATCTCCGGGCACAGTGTCCATCTTTACAAGTAGTCCCTCTGCATTGCACTCTGATGCTCTGGGATGGCTGGTCAGCAAACCCAGACTGCAGTCTACCAGTCACCTGGCCACTGTTTACTTGTAGATTGCGATCTACTGGTTGCTGACCCCCCACTAGAGTATAGGTAAGCCAACTTTTTTTGCAATCCATTTCGGGAATAAAATTGTTACACCTCGTATGTAAGCGGCTGAATTAGTAGGCCTGATGATAAGAAGACATTGGGGGAGTTTTACTAAAGCTGATGCACCAAGAATCTGGTGCAGCTGTGCATGGTAGTCAATCAGCTTCTAACTTCAGCTTGTTCAACTAAGCTTTGGTAATAAAACTTGGAAGCTGACTGGTTTCTTTGCGGAGTTGTATCAGCTTTTGCATGCTCTGGTTTTATTAAATAACCCACTATGTACACCTGACACATTATTAACAATGGCTGAATACACCATGGGGGTTATTTATTAAAACTGGAGAGTGCAAAAAGCTGTTTCAAATCTGCATAGAAACCAATCAGATTCCAGGTTTTTTTTGCCAAAGCTTAATTGAACAAGCTGAAGTTAGAAGCTGATTGGTTACCATGCACAGCTGTACAAGATTCTGACTGCTCCAGTTTTAGTAAATCTCCCCCCCCCCCCCCAGCGTTACTAACTGTGTTCCCCAAACTTAAAGTGTCCTGAAGGCAGAATTGTTCTTGTCAACAACTAAACAGACTCTGACTTTTTGCTTTCCAAGTGCATCATGAGAGAGTGATCAGAAAAATACAGTTGGAAGCAATACTTTTCTGATCACTCTCCCATGGTGCACAGGGAACAAAAAAGTCAGAGTGTGGTTAGATGTCAACAAAAACTGGAACCCGTAAATTGCACTTGGTGCATTCAGCAGTTGTACATACTGTGTTAGGTGTATGTAGTGTCATTTTATCATCAGGAATGCTGGTTTAGTCACGTGCTACTTATATATGTTACAACACAATAGCTTTCTGTGCTCATAGCTCACATTGTGCCTGATTTGCAAAAGTTCAAGTTGAGGTAAAATGCAGTAAAAGTGACTCTGTGTTCTCTTCAGGATCCTGTCGTATGAAGGAGATGCTCCATATTTTTTAATTCTTCTGCATTGAATGTTCGGAAGTGAACCAAAAGTCATTTCCCTCTTCATATATTAACAAATCTGGTCAGATGAGGTGGGAAAGGCTATGATCACAAGAACAATAGAATACCCCAGTCTTATGTAATAATTCATTTTTCTAGAGATCTTGGTATGCTGTGGTGGCTCCATTCTGCCACAGTGACGCATACAGACTGTGACATGGAGTGTGTGAAATGAGCCCTCTGCAGTGACAGCAAGATTCCCAAGGCACTGTAATGTTTTGTGTGCAAGCAGATCTTATACAGTTTAGCGTGCAGTAACTTATCTTGTGTTTTTTGTATCTGCAGGACCTGGCAGGAAAATATCTCTTTAAAGGAATTACAGAGGAAGGGAGTCTGCCTGCTGAAGCTGCAGGTAGCAAACCAAAAAACAGGGCTTTACGGGCGCCTTCTGGTAACCTTCACACCCAGAAAGTATGACTCTGTTGCAGTGCTGCCGAGTAACTGCTTCGGATCAGGTACTTAAGATGCACCAATTTTTGTTTTACAGCAGCAAAGCCGTCATACTAACCATCAGTGTACCACCTACTGAGGAGTATTTTTAATATACAGTTAGGTCCATATATATTTTGGACACAGGCACAATTTGTTTGTTTTCTTTCAGGTTTTTACCAAAACATATTCAAGCTATAGTTATATAATGGATATGGGTTGAAAGTGCACATTCTCAGGTTTAATTTGAGGGTATGTACATCCAAATTGGAGTAAGGTTTTAGAAATTGCAGCTCTTAAGAATAGAAATCCCCCCTTTTTCAAGGGACTAAAAGTAATTGGACAGTTGAATCAAAAGCTGTTTCATGATCAGGTGTGGGCTACTCCATCGTTATGTCTTCATCAATTAAGCAGGTAAAAGGTCTGGAGTTGATTCTAAGTGTGGTATTTGCATTTGGAATCTATTGCTGTGAACCTACATAATGCGTTCAAAGGCGCTGTCCATGCAAGTGAAAGAGGCCATTGTAAGGCTTCATAAAATGAAACATATCCATCAGAGAGATAGCAGCAACATTAGGAGTGGCCAAATCAACAGTTTGGTACATTCTGAGGAAAGAGGAACGCACTGGTGAGCTCAGCAACATAAAAAGGCATGGATGTCCAAGGAAGACAACAGTGGTGGATGATCACAGGATCCTCTCTATGGTAAAGACAAAACCCATTCACAACATCCAGACAAGTGAAGGACACTCTCCAGGAGGTGGGAGTATCATTGTGAAAGTCTACAATCAAGAGAAGACTTCACGAGAGCAAATACAGAGGGTTCACAACAAGGTGCAAACCCTGAAGAATAGAAAAGCCAGATTAGACTTTGCCAAGAAACATCTGAAAAAGCCAGACCAGTTCTGGAAAAGCATTCTTTGGACGGATGAAACTAAGATTAATCTGTACCAGAATGACGGGAAGAAAAAAGTGTGGAGAAGGCTTGGAACAGCTCATGATCCAAAGCACACAACGTCATCTGTAAAACATGGTGGAGGCAGTGTGATGGCATTGGCATGCATGGCTTCCAGTGGCACTGGGTCATTGGTGTTTATTGATAATGTGACAGAAGACAGAAGCAGCCGGATGAATTCTGCAGTGTTTAGAGATATACTGTCAGCCCAGATTCAGCCAAATGCAGCAAAGTTGATTGGACGGCGCTTCACATTATAGATGGATAATGATCCAAAACACATTTTTGAAGGAAAAGAAGTGGCATATTCTGCAATGGCCGACTCAAGCACCTGATCTCAACCCAATTGAGCGTGCATTTCACTTGCTGAAGGCAAAACTAAAGGCAGAAAGACCCACAAAGAACAACTGAAGACAGCTGCAGTTAGAGCCTGGCAAAGCATCAGAAAGGAGGAAACCCAGTCTTTGGTAATATCCATGGGTTCCGGACTTCAGGCAGTCATTGCCAGTAAAGGATTCTCAACAAATTATTAAAAATGAGCATTTTATTTATGATTATATTCATTTGTCCAATTACATTTGAGCTCCTGAAAATGGAGGGACTGTTTATAAAAATGGTTGCGGTTCCTAAAATTTGTACTTGATTTTTATGTTCAACCCCTTGAATTAACGACCCTCCCGTCCGGCCGTTGTATATAAATGGCCAGATGGTGGCAGTGCAGGGTCGGGTGGCCGTTTCTAAAAGGCCTCCCCGGACCCTGCTTGTTCGCGCTCCCTGCTTGTTCGCGCTCCCTGGGAGCACGCAGCACCGCGGTCTGGGGCCCACTGTGTTCTCCGGACACAGTGGAACACCGATCGTCGGACGGGACTCTCTGTGCGAGGTCCCGATCATGTGATCACTGATTGGCCAAGCAGTGATCACATGCAGAGTAGTAAGCAAGATGTCACTTGTGACATCATTGCTTACTACGTGTGAAATCTGTGAATGATCACAGAGGTCACATGGTACAAGGCTATTCACAACAGCCTTGTACCATGTGACAAGCTGTGACCAATCACAGCTCGCACAGTATTTCTCAATGGCTGCAGGAATGCAGCTAGATAGAAGGAGAAACGATTGCTTTTACAGCCTTTATGGGTGTAAAAGTAATCAGTGTAAAAAAAAAAAATCTTCATCACCCCCCACAAGTAGTACAGTGTCCCCATGGTGAAACTGTACTGCTAGGGTGACAGTATGTAAAAAAACAAAAACATAATATAAAAAAAGTAAAAAAAAAAATGTTAAATTATAATTTTTGGTTATAAACTAATTTGGGTTATTTTTTTTTTTTTTACTAAAAAGATAACGTTATAAATTTTTGCCCAGATTTATAATGAAATACTATTTATTTGCAAACTTTTATAAGAAAAACACTTTTTTTTTTCAAAATTTTTGGACTTTTTCATTCACATAGCAAAAAAAATAAAAATCCCAGTGGTGAATAAATACCACCAAAATAAAGCTTTATCTGTCTCAAAAAATGCTAAAAAATTCATATGGATACAGTGTTGCATGACCGCAATTGTCATTCAAAGTGTGATAGCACTGAAAGCTGAAAATTGGCCTGGACAGGAAGGGGGTAAAAGTGTCCGGACTGGAACTGGTTAAAGCTGAAAGTCTGCACTTCAAATTCATTTGGATTGTTTCATTTTAAGTTATTCTGGTGGCATACAGAGCCAAAAGTATGAAAATTGTGCCTGTGTCCAAATATATATAGACCTAACTGTAGCTTCCATTTATAACGTGCAGAGCAATTGGTTTATAACACAGACACAGCCTGATATTATAAAGCCATTATACCTCTGTACAGCTTTTTCAGGCTTGTAGGCCATCATCAGTGAAAGTACACCAGGACAGGTTATAGTATAAAAAAAAAAAGCCCTCCAGTGAACCAGTGCAAAGTTTTTTTGGTTTCTTTTAGTCCTCCTCACCATAACTGGCTATAATGTATAATGTTATCAGTACATTCAGCTTTCTTAATCTACCTTCTTGTATTTTGATTACCTTTGGGGAAGGCAGTATACAATAGGCTGGCTAAAAATGTTTTTCTTTAAGGGCTCTTTCATACCAGATCCATTAAGCTGTCTTGATCTACATTATTCATTGCAGGTTCAACACCAGGGTGCTCCAAAAACAATAGCTATCTATGTGCCCCCAATTACACACTATTGTGATGGTGTGTGATGAGGAAAAATGTAGCCATGATGAATTTTATGCAGCCCAATGCACAAATTAATGCAGCAACACAACATGTTTATCAAGATACAAAAAATCTATTTTAATTTGGCCTATACATTTACTGCATTGGCTGCATAGACACAGCCACTGCTCCCAATTTTACATCCATGTGGGTGCGGGTGCTCGCATGTCCCTGAACTCAGACAGTGTGCATTCAGGGACTTGTACCTGCACCCACACAGATTTCAGATCGGTTGCAGCAACTGTGTCTGTGCAGCCACTGCGTCCCAATTGACTTGAATGGGACTGTCTGAACGCTGATGCATGGAACACCTGTGCATTCCATGTGGGCAAATGCAGTCCTCACATGGGTGCATGCTGATATATGCCCATGTGAGTAAAACCGAACAGGATCTACTACAGGGATTTCTTCTGTGCAGTGAAAAATTCAGCAGGTCTCTTCCTGGGTGCTATTTAATATGACAAAGCAAGTCTGTAAAGAACATTTGTGTACTAGAATTTACTGATTTTAAATAAAGGTTTCATGAAGGTGTTTACACAATGCTTGTGCTGTTTGTTCTATAGGATTCTATCATGTAGCCGCCAGCTGGTTTGTCCCCCAGCTATCACAAAATCTTTCTATTTTTGTCTACACAATCCTGTGTATAAGCATTTGCTAGAACTATTCTATAGCAAAATTTGTCTAATATTTCTCAAAGCGCGATTCCAGGTGACAAGAGAAACGGTTCACTGAAATACTGCAATCCAGGAAACACTGTAGTTTTGCTATGATCAAAAACTTCACTCTGCATACATTTTCTGTGATCCCTAGAAGGACTAGATTGAGCTAAGCATTCGCAATACTTTTTGGCAAGACTGCAATTTCTTACGAATAACTCCTTGCTGTGTGAGATCCTCTATTAAAGTCAATATCCGAGTAGAAGTTATAGACTGCAGTGTATGAAGCAAGAGTACGATTGATCTATTTCTGAATTGTGTGCATAGCAAGAGTGAGTGTGATTAATCTCTCTCTGATATGCAGCGTGCATATTTAAATTGTAGAACTACCCCAATGAATGGAGTTGAAATACTTGCCATAAAAAATCTTTGGTTTTGAATGAAATCCCTCTGGATGCCAGGTTACACAGTTGGGTGGTATGCTGCCTAGGTGAAAAACAAAAGCCAGAGAACACTTCAGCTATATCCTGTGTGTGTGTTTTCAGGATAAATGTTTAGGTTATGGAAGATTGTACCTTTAACAGAAACCCATCATGAGGAAAAACTCATGAGCTGTCATAGAGCCCCTGCTTCTGTAAATGCTGCTTGCTTGACACTGTAGCTTTAAGACTTATTAAGTCAGAGTTGAAACAAGCTTGCAGAAAAAATGTGTATTGGGTCACTGATTGTTGACTTCTGTCAGATAAAACAGAGGACCAGATGATAACCAGGCACCTGGCATTTTTAAAAGCACTTCAACAATGACATGTCCTGTAATTTTATTTGGCTTAACAAATCCTACTTTTTGGTGTAACATGATGGCAGAATAGCCACTTGGGGCCCAATCACTCCAGTAGGGACACGTTATGGTGTGCATAACACTCATGCTGATGTGTGTCTTATCTTAATCATACAGTACAGCACACAGGAGTGGTATTTATAGATCATGGGATAGAAGCTGCTTCTTTCAGGTGACACTGGCAAAAACTTTTGCTAAAGACGCTCCTAGTAGGAACCCATATAACCCTGCCACTCTGTAAGGGTCCATTTGTTTTTCTAGTGTTATTAGGCGATGGACTTGTACTCCTCCAGAGATGTCTTTTTTTTTTTTTTTTTTCCTTTTTACGTTTTTGATGT